TTCATTTTAAGTAGCATTTTTAAAAAAAGAAAATTCCCTGTTTTCCAATAACACTGAACTTATGTCTCTTGATTTTCCTGTCTGACCTTCTTACCATCCCCTCTCACTCCAATAATTTTAAGTCCTCCTCGTAATAGTTACAAAATCGCACTTGTTCAACATTCCCCAGCAATTTCCTCTAGACTATGTCCTCTTTTCATTACCTATGAACACAAGTATTTGCTGGCATTCGTTAACCACTGAGTGGCCGACAGTACTGGACGCTTTAGTTCCATCCTCTGAAGCCATCTAATAGTTTGGCCTCCTCAGTCTTAGCTCATCTCATTCTCTTTCCTTCTACTTCTTTACATGACATCAGAAGAGGATTCTGGGGGAAAATAGGGAAAAGTTGCAAAAGAAACAAACTTTAGTTTTAAGATGAATAAGGTCTGAGGATCTAATGTATAATGTAGTAACTATAGTTGATAACACTGTATTGTATAATTGAAATTTGATAAGACAGTAGAAAATAATGTTTTTACCAAAGAAAGAAAAAATATGTATGTGAGATGATGGATCAAGTCAGCTGTATGTGCATCCCACATGCCAGGAAGAAAAGGGCAATTCCAGGCAGACAGTAAACGTAGAGACCTTCAGGGCTGAACAAACACATTTTTCTATGACTGAAAGGAAGTTCAAGCATGGAAAATAAGTGGGACATGATGTTGGAAAGGAAGGGCAAGGAGTTATGTATGAAGGGTCTTGGTTATCTTGCTGAGGAATGCAGAATTACATTGCAGGCAGTGAAAAAGCAACAAAAATTTGAGCAAAGGCAGTGGTGATATCCTCTGGAGGGAGTGGTGCAGCCAGAGTTATGAGAGAGAAACCAGAGATAGATTCAGTGACGCTCATGATTTTCTGGTGTTGGAAGTTGTTCTACCAGTGTATGTTTTTCTCCTGTATCCCCTCTGTAACTTCACTTCCTGTCTTCTTCTAAGTTATACTCTTAAATTCATTTAAACACACTCTTAAGTTGTAATAATCTCTTTTATTTGATATCTTGGAATCTGAGGTATAATTTGATCAGGCCCCATGCCTTTATTCATACCTATCACCATAGGAAGCACAAGACAAAATGCCCCTCACCCCTTGAGCCCCAGTTCTCATATGTCTTGTACACTCCCATCTCTGTCTCCATTTCCTTTCTTTATCTATCTTCTGAAACTGTTCATTCCAGACAAGTTTGAAGTCCATCATCAGCAGTATTCCCTTAATAATTAACCTATTTTGAGTATTTGCCCTTTAGGTTTTTTTTTTTTGTAACTAAAATTTGTCACTCCATTGATTTTACTCTTTCCTAACATTCCTTCAAAATGACAGCTGTTTTCTCCTCCATATTCCTTCTACCATAAGGGCTGGAATCATGGTGTATATCCTGCCTTTCTTCTTTTTAATGCCATTTCAAGAACATTCTCCTACCTCCATAAATGCTCCAGGCCTTGACTGTGATTTGTCGGACTATTCCATCCACTGTCTCTCCTTGCTGTAATCCTCAAGTCTTTCTCTCTGTTCTTTGATGATTGTATCTCTTGGTTCAATCCCACTCCTTTCAACACTACTCTTTTAATTATCAGTAAGCTCAACATTTTGATAACTGATCATTTTTCCAGTGTTCTGGGCTCTAAGTTATTGGATCTTTTCTCCAATTTTGTATTCCATCCTCACTCAGAGACTCATCTCTATGAGTACAGCCTGGAAATTGCTTTTGTAAGTCTCAGTTTCATATATCTACTATGACTATCACTGAGTATTTTTCCAACTCACTCCTGCTAATATCATGACTTTAAAAAGCTCTGACTGTGTCAGATTTAAGAGTCGATCTTGATCTCATCACCTTATCTCATCAGTCCTTCCTCTTCCACAGTGCTTCCTTCCTTAATGACATAAATGTCATGGCAAGTCAAAATCACTCCCTTACATATACCTAGAATTCATTTGTCTTTCTGCTTTTTATATTCACCTGGTGATACCAAAATTCTGGTGAAATAAATACTGCCTCCTGGTTGCCTGCATGCACACAGCTGAAAAAGGCTGGAGAAGAAAGACAAACTACATAGTGAAGCTGACCTCTCTCTAAAATTCATGATCATGAAGGTTGCCTGATAGTTATTCTGTATTTCCTGAGTCTAGTCTCTTTGCAGTCCCATATTTAAATATTTCATACTTTTTCCTCCCTGTTATTGTCTGTTGACAAGTCTTCCTATTTCATTAAATAAATTAAAGCAATCAAAGAGATATTTTTATAATCTCCCACTACTATTTCTGTCCACCTACAAGAATCTGTGCTCTTGTATTCTGTCCTCATTTCTGTTACTATGATTGAATAGTTCATGTTTCTAATTGAGGACAATTTTAGCCTATCTGTGCTTACCTATCCCAAATGTGTATTTCTAACATGTAACTGTTTATGAATTCTGTATGGATATATTCAACTGGACTTGAATCTCCAATTGAATTTTTAAAGGCATCTCTAACTTAACACTCAAAAATGAACTGTTAATGCTACACATCTCTCACCCCCACCAAAAAAGGAAAAGCAACAAAAACTAGCTCCTCTTATGTGTGTCTCCATCTCAATGAATAGTAACTTCATTCTTCTAGTTGCTGGGGCCAGAAAACATGGTGTTATCTTTGACCTTTTCCTTTTCTCACACCTTACATCTTGTCCTTTAAGAAATCCTGTGATTCTTCTTTCAAAATACATCAAGAATTATATTGCTTCTCTCTACTTTCATTACTCAACACTTTGATCCTGGTCACCAGCATCTTGCCTGAATTATTGCCCTAACTTCAGAAACTGAATCATCCTGCATCCTTTGTCCACTGTACTTGATGCTCAAGAGCAATCAACAGGGTGATCCTATTTAAAATGTAAGTCAAATTATGTTTCTCTTCTGCTCAAAACTTGCAGATTCCCCACCACAGTCAGACTCCATATATGGCTCCATTTCCTCTGTGACTTTATCCTTTCTCTGACCCTTTATTTCTCCTTATCATTCATTTATCACTATATAGCATCCTGTATATTTTGTTTTCCTTTCTTGTTTCATTCCAGTCTACCCCCTTACAATGTAAATGCTGTGAGGGCAGAATATTTTGTATTCTTCATTCACTGCTGTATCTCCAGAATCTACTAGATCAGTGCCTAATTCATAGCAGGCATGCAATAAAACATAATAGAATGAATGGATCATTCAGTGACTGACATTGTTTTCACATGGCTGCATCATATAATCGGTTGTGCTTGCTAATACTTCTATAGCTGTGTGATTTACTGTACTAATTAAAAGGATAATGTCTGAAATCAGACTGAGAAAACTTTGACTTCCATCTGGACTTTATAATGTGACCTTGTAAATTGTGTTTAGTGTCTCCAAGTCTTATTTCCTCATTTTTAAAATGGACATAATAACAGTGACTTACTCATAGGATGCTTCTGAGAACTAAATGAGAAAATGCAGACAAAATGTTCGAATTGCCCAGAGCAGTTAGTAAACTTTTAATCAAGATAATTAATATACTTATATTAAAGCTAACATATACTTTATTTTCCTTTTGTGTCTTGATTTTTACTCTTAAGTAATTTTATGAGAGGTGAAGCTCTTTGAGATTGGAAGTGTTAATTTCTATTTCTTTTTAAACCCCTCTAATTTGTTCCACACTTATTTAATCAGTTATTATCTGAAAGTCAGGTAGGCAGGCCCCTAAAGTGTTTGAATGATTCATTTTCTGTATGCTAATGTTATTTGGGGAATCAGCCTCATGGTTTCATCCATCTTTCCATGACAGACTACTCCAGAGTGGAAAAAAATGTTGGATATGTACCTGGCTTTTGTGTAAAAAAAAAAAAATTGGCTGACCACTGAAGAGCATGATCAGAGTGCATTATAAAAATGGTTGGAAAAGAGTTTTGCTCAAAGTAACACTCAGGAGATTCATTGATATCATTTGCATTTGTAGCAAGTCATCCATGTAAAACTTAATATTACATTCAATCATGTTAAGCTTTTCACTTAGATACTTAACCCTTAGAAATACAGCAGCTCAGACTGTTTGATGCTCACATAGTTCAGCTAAATTTTCAGAGTGTACAGATATAAATGTAGGACTGGCTCTTTTCTTCATGCATTTAGTGTTGATGATCCAGGAGTTGACAGCATGCAGACATCATCAACAGGGATTTGATTGCACAAAATCAGAACAAGTATCTCTGAGAGCCTGCACTAAGTAGACTTCACTATGCCAGTTTACCTCAGGGGGAGAGATTTTTTTCTTAAACTTTATTTTTCAGTGAGAAATAGCTAGTGTAAGATAAATACATTTTGTTCAAGTTACCCATGAATTGATTGGAAAGTGTACTTACAGAGCTATAACTAGAATCCTCGTTATTGTGACTACTAGCATAGGCCTCCTATTTTACACTACTGTATTATATTCTAGGGTATTAAGAAAGAAAGGCCTTACTCTAGGAGTTATAATTACCTGAGTTCTACTTGCTGCCTTGTAAATACAAAGATTTGCTGTTTTGACAAGGCTTGTCACCTCTATGTCTTTATTTACTCATCAGTGTAAAAGTAGGGATTATATCTGCCCTGTGTTTTTTACTGAATAATTGTTAGATTTTTGTTCAATGTAAAGATTATAAAAGTGAGATATTTGTATAATACGTGCTTTCTAATTGGAAGGATATTTAAACAGCAGTAGTAGCAATTTCTGATACTGCTTCTCTTCCTTCAGCCTCTATTACTGGTTCTCCACTTTCAGCCTCTAAATTGCTGTGACTTCATTATCATCGTAGTAGCATTTTGAATTTTGCTGGTAGGAAATCCAATGATAAAATCATGCTGATAGTTGAAGTTCCTCCTGTTTTTCTTGGGTAAAATATTGATAACACCAAATTGTCCTTTTCAATTCTGTACTTGATATTAGTTACCATAGCATCTTTTCTTTTCATTGCACAGGAAATGACTTATTTCTTGTAGCAGTTCATGAGCTGGGGCATGCTCTGGGATTGGAACACTCCAATGACCCCACTGCCATCATGGCTCCATTTTACCAGTACATGGAGACCGACCACTTCAAACTACCTAATGATGACTTGCAGGGCATCCAGAAGATATATGGTAGGTTAAACCACCATTTCTGTTTGGTTAACCTTGTAATCAAGTCCAGAATTCCTGCTGTGTTTTCTTGTTTGAAAGAGATGCTCTAAATATCTGAGAGAGATAAATACTGGGAAAAAGTAATCTGGCTTATTGGAAAAAGTCTTCTATCAATCAAGTTTTGTTGGAAAAAGTCCCGTATGGCTTAGTGTACAGATGATGGGAAAGCATACGCTGATTGGGTCTTCTTACTGAATTTAGTTGAAACCCGCAATTATAGTAAAGATCTGATAAACTTTATATTTAAAATTCAGGTAAAAATATAATAAATAAATATAATAAAAACAGTGGGAAATATAAGACTATTGTATAAGATACTGAGATTTTGGTAAAAATCAGCAGATTGACTCTTAATTTATATTTGATGTCAGATATTTCTTAGATTTTGAAATTGCAAGAAATACTCTTCTGTGATGGATATAACAAAATGATCTCAAAGAGCATATAATTATTGACTAAAAGTGAAAGCTAACAAATTCAAAAGTGAAAGTTATCAGATGGCTGTTTATGAGCACATATCTCAAAATAAATTTCTAATACAATGAAATCATTTTTATTTACAGAAGTTAGTGAATGCAAATTAAGGCAAAAGGGAGAAGGACTGTTAGACATATTTACTATAAACCTAACTCCCTCAATAGGACCATTGACCTTTATAAAGGCATTTATTTCACATATAATTGTTAAGAACTTGACATTTAAATTTACATAAAGAGAATATGCTTTACTAAATTAATGAAGTGAGTCTTTCATTTTGCAATACAAAGACAAATGTGTGCTATCTGTATGTTAATATCCAGTATCCAGAAGATGTCATTTGCATTTTTAAATAGCATAGTTTACGTTCATTAATTTGTTTTGCATTCATTAGTTTTTCAATTTCAGTATCTCAGTGGTAAGCATTCTCTCAGGGTTAAAATAAGATTTCGCTAAAAGGTCAACTTTTGTGCTACTCTTTATTTTGGGGATACTAAGAAAAGAGAAATGTCTCCTACTCAGAACTATGTAGCTCTAATGTTGAGAGAGCTGTCCGATGCCTAAGTGTGTGTCATCAAAAATTCCTCCGAAGTAGTTAACTGAAAAGAGGCTGTTTCTCATGACCTCATGAATTACAGTCTAGACTGAAGATCTGCAAAAAAATATTCTTTCCATATCTAAATATTAAGTGCTAACAGATCCGTATTTCTTTTTAAAAACATAAATCCCTTGAGGAATGATGCTTTACATCTGTATGAAATTACGTGTGTAAACTTTGGCTTGATTTAGAAACCTGTTTTTAGAAATACTTCTTCACATTAATATTTCACTAGTGGTGTTTTAATTAATATGTGTTTTAGATTCAGTATTCAAACGAAACACTCTTCTAGTAATTTGTCAAAACACTTCATTAGAAGAAGAAAATAATGACAGTCAGGCAAAGGTTATAAAATACAGTTGGAAACATACGGTTGAATAAACTGTGATTTGTTAATGTTTATCTTTTAGAAATATTTGCATAGAATCATTGTCTATCAAAATCTAGGATTAACTTCGGTGGAGCTTACATGCATGATTCCAGTATTCATTCTCATTAATTCATTATTTATACATCCTACTTCCACAAAAATATTTGAAAGCAGCTTTTCCAATAAGGACTGTGGTGAAGCTCTAAAAAGTATCATTAAAAATTAACAAAGAAGGCCTAGTTACTCTTGGATCCAGAATTTTGCATGATAAGGGCAGTCTCTGACAGGCTTGGCAATGGTTTGTTGGGTAAGATGGTCTGTTTTTTTTCAGAAAATATACAGTCTTAAAGACCTCTTTGCTCACTCGGTCTGTGCCCTCCCTTGATGAGTGGTTGTCCTCTGTAGCATCCTTTCCAGCACTATGCCAGGTTTAAGTGAGCTCTTATTTTCAAAAGGTCCACCTGACAAGATTCCTCCACCAACAAGACCTCTACCGACAGTGCCCCCACACCGCTCTGTTCCTCCGGTTGACCCAAGGAAGAATGACAGGCCCAAACCTCCCCGGCCTCCCACTGGCAGACCTTCCTACCCTGGAGCCAAACCCAACATCTGTGATGGGAACTTTAACACTCTAGCTATTCTTCGCCGTGAGATGTTTGTTTTCAAGGTAGGAGGCTGTGATTTTCTTTCTAACAGCAGATCAAGTTGTCTATGGTGTCACTTTAGAAAACAAGTTCTCATTCATTCTAACACTACCTTCCCAGACCTCTCACAGTTAGAAGGTTCAAAAAAAGCATCTTAAAAAATAAATGCACAAATGGGCTTAAATGTCTAGCAGAAGATTGCTGTAACATTCTATTTGGGGAATGCATTTATGTCAGCAGAAGCTAAAATGACTAGCAATGTGAGGGTAAAAAAATGCTGCATGTTATGAACAGATAAAAAAGCATAATTTAAATCATGAATAGGAACTAATAGGGATGATTTCCTTGGGAGCTTAGCCACTTCCTGGCACACTGCAACTATTCTATCTTTGTTTTGCACATCTTTATGAGATCCCTGTAATTTCACTTGACAATTAAAGCATTGTTTTTTAGAAGTATTGATAATTTTGTTAGGTTAGGGGTCTACTGGTAGTCATTAAGAGTTAAATCTCATCTATGAGACTCTCATTTTGATTTTACATATATATGCTATTTTTGTTTTCTTTACTCAGGCATTTATATCTACCTAGTTTATATTATTTTTTTTAAATATTGCAAGCTAAAACTAATTTTACAGTTTGCTAAATGTGCTTTTTAATGCCATTAGGGTCTCAGACAATAATATGAATAACCAGCTTATCCAAGTTGGTTGTATAATATTGAAAACTGAGTATAGTATAACACTGAAGAAGAATTTTCTCCCTCAATATTTGCAAATTGATCTTAAAGATTAATAAAAATTTGTTTTTGTGTTGCTACTAGAATGTTAAAATAGCCAAATTTTACCAAAACCATTCATTAAAATAAAATAATATGCTCTTTTTTGGTATAAATGAATCAATAAATAATCAAATATTGTCCTACTTATACAGAATTTCCTATCTACCAGAGACTATACTTTAAAAATACAGACTCCATATAATTTTTAGTAGACAAAATACTGTATTTCCTTTACTGGAAAATAAGATTTGCAATAGATATAATATGCACATGAGCATCATACTTTCCAGGAAAAATCAATACATTTGTTTAAACACATGGATAGATTTTTGAATTCCATAAGTGCCCTGCAATGCTTAATGAAATATCTTGCGTTCAATTTAAGTTAATTAATAAGTTTAGATTCAAAAGGGAAAAAAAATCGTCATACATTTATATCATTACTCATTGTGGCTAAGCCCACAGCAATAAGCTGAAATAAAACAAAATGCAATCATTTTTTTTTTCCTACAAGACACTGATTAACAGCAGAAGGACTTTGTTTTCACTGTTTTGGCTTAATTTCAACATCCCAGTTTTATTCTTTGATAAAGTGATATCACCAAAGTATCAACCTTATTTAAGAATATGATAGGAAATTGATTCTGGGTACATTCTTTACCTTCCTCCTATCTGTCTAGTTAGATAGTCAATCTCAGAAGAGACCTCTATTTTCAGATCTGATGATGATTTTCACCAGCCATTTCTCTCTGCACATTGTGGGCATGCTCTTGACTGACAAAATGAGGACCTCTGGTCATTGGTTCCTGGAAACTGGAATGGATAAAAAGTACATAAAGCAACTATCAAATAGAATTCAGTAGCCACTGTTTTCAATATCAAAACAGGTGTATAAAGAACATGAGTAAGACCTGCTTCTCTAAACTCTGTTAACCCAGATTCCTTAACCACAATTCTCTACAGCACAAAATCACTAAATCTGAATTTTTTTTGTTGTTTTTTTTACTAGTCCCTGTTCTTTTTCCAAGAATTAATACTGTTGAAGATAATCTTCTAATAGGCACTGCATTCTTCTTGATCTACACTTAACTAATGGATTTTGTGTTGCATAACATTATAATTTCCGTACTCATCTTCTCTTACATATAATAAGTATGTATGTCCAGGTTGTTTATAGGCACCAAGGATATGTGAATAGAAGGCAGCATACTGTCTTTATAGAGCCCATATTCTAGGGTGAATACAAGCATAAACCTAAGTACTTTTGAGGTAACAGAGTAAAAGGTACAGCATTGCCATAAAGAGAAAATACTCAACTCTACTTGAATAGATCAAAGAAAACTTGACTGAGAAAAAGGATAATACTGAATTTTGAGAGAGATTTCCTAGGCACATTAAAGAAATTGGTATTTGGGGTACTAAAAAGTGGATGTGTTGAGAGAGAGAAGATAGACATTTTAACTCTAGTGCAAGGTAATAATTGATATAAACAAGAAATATACAAGATTTGATCCAAGTGAAGAGACATGTTGGAGTGAATCCTACTCTTATTTAATAGCTACCATGGACTGGGTAACTGATATGTGCCTGAAGGTATGCTAGGCACTTTACATCCACAATCTCTAAACCTTATAACACTGCAAGATGGAAAAGTATTTTACAAATAAAAATTTTCTTATTTTACAAATAAGAAAACTGAGAAACAGAAAAGTTAAATATTTAGTCTAAATTATAAGGTTTGTAAGTAGTGGTCAGTACTTCAATACAGGTTTCCTTGATTTCAAAATCAATGTTTCTCATACTGAGTTTTGCTACATGAGAGAGTTAAGGAAAGTTTCTCATACTGAGTTTTGCTACCTGAGAGAGTTAAGGAGAGAGTTAAGGAAAGTTAAAAGAAAGGTAGAACTTAAACTATATTTACAATAGTAAATATTTAAGAAATAATGAGTTCCTATTGTGAGATGCTATTTTAGGCACTGGCAATACAGCAGTAAACAAAACAGGATAGATACTGTTTTCTCAGACCTAACATCCTAGTTTTCAAAGTATACTGGCAACTAAGAGTTCCAGGACAGAACTTCACACATATTCTAGAAGCATGTGGGAGAGCCCCCAAATTCTTTTTCTTTGTTAATGACTTCTGATCTCCTAACTTCTCCCTCTGTACCTACATAGTCTAGACTACTTTCACCCCTAAATTAATGCTGTTTCCCCCACCCCTGATCTTCCTGCATAAAAGTATTCTCTGTCAGTCTGTCTTGTGCACACCTACCTTTTTAATTGCCCTTCAATAAACTCATCATTAGTGTCCATAGTTCGGTTCTTATTGACTACCCCTTCAAGTATATTTTAGCATCACCCAGTATTCTACCGCACTTTTACTAATTAGCTTGATTTTCTACTTTTCTTCAGTATAAATTCTCTAGACAAATTAGAAACCTCTTTACTTCCTACCATTTACCCCCTAAAATTTATTTTATTTTGGTTTTAATCTGGGACTTCTTTGCAAATGTCTGCTTATCCAAAACTTTCCTCTACATCTTCAACATGTCTATCTCTCTAACTATTCTTCAACTCAAAATCCCTTTCTAGTGATTTTTATATTTATATTCTGTATCCAATTAGCATGTTTTAAATTTGTTTTATTTAATTATTTTTCATTGTGATGTATTCCTTAACTGGATTACAAACTTCAGAGCTGAGATTAGTTCCTGTGGGCTTCACAGTGCTTGAGCAAATGGGTAAGGCTCTGAATAAAATATTATTTAATTAAATTATAACTAGTATCATGTTTATACAATGGTAATCAACCAATATGACATTACTGAAAGTATTCATTCTGGTTTGTTATTCCTTGCCCGAAGATTTTCATGATTAAGTAAATATTTTTTACTTATATTGCATATGTATAATTTTTAAGTAAAAACATAAGAAAATCTAGATACAAGTAAAAGGTAATATCAGGTAATTTTATTTTTTTATTATAAAGGAGTGTTTCTTTATAATAGAAGTTTCAGCATAATTCATTTTGGTAGCAAGATTCCTCTTAGGGGATTTTATTTATGTTGAACTTCCCAGACACTCACTATTTGAGGTGAGTTCATCTGGATATGTGTTTCTATATGGGGACATAAATAAGTGCATATAATATACATGTTAACATTTAATATATAATTAATATTTATGTATATACTTTTATGTACTTCTGTACTTACACATGAGAAAGTTAAGCCTTCCATGCAGCTTCGTAATATCTCGGGAATGTTAAAACATCTAGCATGAAAATGAAAATCAAAACAAAATGCCAGGACACAAAAGCAAAATAGCAATAACAAAAGAAGCTTTGTCCTTACTTTAGAGAAGGTCATTTTAAGCTTCCCTTGAAGAGTTTAAGCTGTGTGTACCACATGATACTGCTGTTATGACTGAGCTAGCAAGAGCAAAATCTGATTGTTCCAATGAACACTCTCAAAATTCCTTTGGATACAAGATAAAAACATGGAACATTTAGTTATTTCGTGAGGTGTGAAAGAAAGCAGAAAGCAGACTTACCCAAACTTGTGCAGGATATATTTCAGTGTTAATATTTTGTTACATATGGAAGAAAGCAGTGGTAACTGTATTCTCCCTGAAGCTGAGGCTAGGAAAATAAAAGGCACACAGCACCAGCAGTGCTTCTGGCCTGCGCACAGAAGGAAGGGTTCCATTTGGCTGGTGACTGGTTTTCAGTTCTTTCACTCGACCTAGATAATAGTGTTAAGAGTCCAAGCTGTCATGGAACAGCACTCAGGGAAGTACAATCAGGTATCTTCCCAATGAATGAATATAGAAGAACAATATTCACAGCTCTGAGTAAGAAAAGTATTTCATCATCTATCCCCTCACCCTCCCCCCAAAAATCAAACTAACACAGAAATCATTTGGTACCTTTTTGTCCATTTTTCACAAGACCATTTGTTCTTAAATATGACCATTCACTTACAACCACCTACTTAATTACACTGGAGAATCATAGTTCCTATTATTTCCATAGAAACACACTTACCCGGAGTCTGCCCTGGTTAATGCTAGCTTAACTCCCATTGAAAGTACAAAGTCCCATTAGTCAAGCCTCATAAGTTCAAGGTATGACCCAATTTCATTGGAAAGATGGTGGTTCTGTTTCTTAAAAGAAGACATTTTATATGGCGGAGAGAGAGATTCAGAGAGAGAGAATAGAGATGGTTATTGAAAGAGATAGTTT